TGGTAGGCCTGATCACCGACAACGATGAGACAGCCTATAGGGAGGAGGTCAGAGACCTGGCCATGTGGTGCCAGGATAACAACCTCTCCCTCAACGTGACCAAGACAAAGGAGATGATTGTGGACTACAGGAAAAAAAGAGGACTGAGCACGCCCCCATTCTCATCGACGGGGCTGTAGTGGAACAGGTTGAGAGCTTCAAGTTCCTTGGTGTCCACATCACCAATGAACTATCATGGTCCAAACACACCAAGACAGTCGTGAAGAGGGCACGACAAAGCCTATTCCCCCTCCATCGAGAGCATCGTGACTGGTTGCATCACCGCCTGGTATGGCAACTGCTTGGCCTCCGACTGCAAGGCACTACAGAGGGTAGTGCGTACGGCCCAGTACATCACTGGGGCCAAGCTTCCTGCCATCCAGGACCTCTATACCAGGCGGTGTCAGAGGAAGGCCCTCAAAATTGTCAAAGACTCCAGCCACCCTAGTCATAGACTGTTCTCTCTGCTACCGCACGGCAAGCGGTACCGGAGTGCCAAGTCTAGGTCCAAAAGACTTCTCAACAGCTTCTACCCCCAAGCCATAAGACTCCTGAACAGCTAATCATGGCTACCCGGACTATTTGCACTGCCCCCCCCCACCCCATCTTTTTACGCTGCTGCTATTCTGTTAATTATTTATGCATAGTCACTTTAACTCTACCCACATGTACATATTACTTCAACTACCTCAACTAGCCGGTGCCCCCGCACATTGACTCTGCACCGGTACCCCCCTGTATATATAGCCTCCCTACTGTTATTTTATTTGACTTCTGCTCTTTTTTTCTCAACACTTTTTTGTTGTTGTTTTATTTTACTTTTTTATTAAAAATAAATGCACTGTTGGTTAAGGGCTGTAAGTAAGCATGTCACTGTAATGTCTGCACCTGTTGTATTCGGCGCATGTGGCCAATAAAATTTGATTTGATTTGATTTGATGAAACTTGCTCTCATGAGGACCGCCACAGGAAAGGAAGACCCAGAGTTACCTCTGCTGCAGAGGATAAGTTCATTAGAGTTACCAGCCTCAGAAATTGCAGCCCAAATAAACGCTTCACAGAGTTAAAGTAACAGACACATCTCAACATCAACTGTTCAGAGGAGACTGCGTGAATCAGACCTTCATGGTCGAATTGCTGAAAAGAAACCACTACTAAAGGACACCAATAATAAGAAGAGACTTGCTTGGGCCAAGAAACACGAGCAATGGACATTAAACCGGTGGAAATCTGTCCTTGTCTCCTGGCCTGATGAGTCCAAATTTGAAATTTTTGGTTCCAACCGCTGTGTCTTTGTGAGATGCAGAGTATGTGAAAGGATCTCCGCATGTGTGGTTCCCACCGTGAAGCATGGAGGTGTGATGGTGTGGGGGTGCTTTGCTGGTGACACTGTCTGTGATTTATTTAGAATTCAAAGCACACTTGACCAGCATGGCTACCACAGCACTGCAGCGATACGCCATCCAATCTGGTTTGCACTTAGTGGGACTATAATTTGTTTTTCAACAGGACAATGACCCAAAACACACCTCCAGGCTGTGTAAGGGCTATTTGACCAAGAAGGAGAGTGATGGAGTGCTGCATTAGATGACCTGGCCTCCACAATCACCCGACCTAAATCCAATAGAGATGGTTTGGGATGAGTTGGACCGCAGAGTGAAGGAAAAGCAGCCAACAAGTGCTCAGCATATGTGGTAACTCCTTCAAGACTGTTGGAAAAGCATTCCAGGTGAAGCTGGTTGAGAGAATGCCAATAGTGTGCAAAGCTGTCATCAAGGCAAAGGGTGGCTACTTTGAAGAATCTCAAATATAAAATATATGATTTCATAATTTTGATGTCTTCACTATTACAGTCACAGTCACTAGCCCATTCAGCCCATTCAAGCTTAACATCCTTGTCATTTATCGCCCTCCAGGTTCCCTTGGAGAGTTCATCAATGAGCTTGACGCCTTGCTAAGTTCCTTTCCTGAGGATGGCTCACCCCTCACAGTTCTGGGTGACTTTAACCTCCCTACGTCTGCCTTTGACTCATTTCTCTCTGCCTCCTTCTTTCCACTCCTTTCCTCTTTTGACCTCACCCTCTCACCGTCTCCCCCTACTCACAAGGCAGGCAATACGCTTGACCTCATCTTTACTAGATGCTGTTCTTCTACTAATCTCACTGCAACTCCCCTCCAAGTCTCCGACCACTACTTTGTAACATCAAAGCGGTGACCCGATCCTGCAGGTTCATGCTCTACAACATTCGCAGAGTACGACCCTACCTTACACAGAAAGCGGCACAGGTCCTAATCCAGGCACTTGTCATCTCCCGTCTGGATTACTGCAACTCTCTGTTGGCTGGGCTCCCTGCCTGTGCCATTAAACCCCTACAACTTATCCAAAACGCCGCAGCCCGTCTGGTGTTCGACCTTCCCAAGTTCTCTCAAGTCACCCCGCTCCTCCGCACACTCCACTGGCTTCCAGTTGAGGCTTGCATCTACTACAAGACCATGGTGCTTGCCTACGGAGCTGTGAGGGGAACGGCACCTCCTTACCTTCAGGCTCTGATCAGACCCTACACCCAAATGAGGGCACTACGTTCATCCACCTCTGGCCTGCTAGCTCCCCTACCTTTACAGAAGCACAGTTCCCGCTCAGCCCTGTCAAAGCTATTTGCTGCTCTGGCACCCCAATGGTGAAACAAGCTCCCCCACGACGCCAGGACAGCGGAGTCACTGACCACCTTCCGGAGACACTTGAAACCCTACCTCTTTAAAGAATACCTGGAATAGTAAAGTCATCTTTCTACCCCCCCCCCCCCCCCCCCCCCCCCCCATAAAAAAAAGAAGAAAAAAAGTGGTTGTCCCACTTGCTATCATAAGTTGAATGCACCAATTTGTAAGTCGCTCTGGATAAGAGCGTCTGCTAAATGATGTAAATGTAAATGTAATTATTATACAATGTAGAAAATAGTAAAAATAAAGAAAAACCCTTGAATGAGTAGGTGTGTCCAAACTTTTGACTGGTACTGTATAAATATATTTTTTAGGTAAACAGGTGGGGCTCAAAAGAGGTGGGGATCTGCCCCACCTGCCCTGAATGACGGGTCACCACTGGTCACCACTGCCCCCCCCCCCCCCTTTACACACAGACAGATAGATGTGTTTGTTGTCTCCTCTGCCGGTCCTGCCTTTGACTGTGTCTGCTCGACCGTGGCCCGAGCTTGGCCCCTCCTGCGAGACAAGGCATTAAAGAGCTTAGCGGGCTACAAAGGATGGGTGATAAACTAACGACGGTGGAATGGGAAAGGACAGACAGGCACTGCCGAGGAATATAAATTAGTTGAGTTCTGAGAGAAGGAAGTGTACTTGCGCTGTTTATTTCTCTCTCATTTGAGTTGCCTCCGAGTTTATTTTCAATCTCCAGAGTGTAAAATTTGCCAATTGGCTTCAAATTCAGAGCTGTGATGATCTCCCTCTCATAAACAGTTGCTGTGTTCTTTGTGGATTCTGCCCATTAGCTCAGTGAAACACAGAAGCCATGATGGATCATAATATCCCCTTCTGTAATGGAGTTTGGGGAGACTGATGTTGCTGTAGCAGGTAAACATCCACACATCCTTTCCTGATGGCAGTCCTAATGGGCTGTGGGGATTATTGGGTTACTGAGATGAAGTCGGAGGGGAATACACAATAGCCATCCTGTTTGTTAGAAAGGAAGCAATCTGAAGACAATTTATGTGAAAAACTGGGGAGGACATAACATGTAGTGCTGAGCAAGAGAAGATCAATATAGCCTGGTTCCAGAATACAGATCTGTTTTGGCTGTCATTCCAACTCCAGCATGACAATGACCTTGTTTGCAAGACATCACAAACATATCTAGGATCAATAGGCTTGTAGTCATAAACAATTATGATAGGCCCTCTCTATTGTTTTGCAATCAATTCATATTTGGGAAAGATTAAAGGCCTACAAATCTGTCACTATGACATTTGGGCAGTTATTTGCCAATTACCCTAGCTAGCTATTCGACGACAAATTCAACTGGAGGCCTCTCACACAAGTTATTTCCCTCACATACACACCTGAATTATAATCTTATGTGGCGCTTTCTCCCAAACCCCAACATATTTCCATTTGCCCTGTAATTGTCATGTAGAACCCCGTAGCCATGCTGAGGCCTAGTACTTTTAATTTACGCTTGGGGATGTTTGCTTCAACCTGAACTCCCACAGCAGAAAAACACCATTCTTGCCAATCATACTGCTGCTACCTCCCAGTAGCGGATTTGTTTTTCGCTGTGGTCTCTATATTCATTGTGTGTCCCAACCTCCATTTCACTTTCACCATTCTTAAAATAATTGACCACTCCAGTTAAATCAATGATGTTCTGGTCTCTGTTGAAATACCAAATTAACCTTTGTCTGTGGGGGTCGGAGACCCCGCTACTTCATCAGCAGGTAGACTATTTGCATAATGAAGTGAGAGCTGTTGTTGATAGAACCGCCTGCGCCTCCTTGTTGACCACTTGATCGGAATGGATGATGTGAAAGGTTTTCGAAACCTCAAATAACCACAAACAAGTCTCTAAAATATGCACTTCACGCATGAGGTGTCAAATGAAATTATTTACATCAGTCAACACTTTGCTTGGGTAAATAACATGTATTTTTTTTAAACCCCAAAAGCCTAATCTACCTGGTGCACTTGTTCATTGGATTGATATAGTCAACAAACAAGTGTCAAAACAATATTGAAACAAATTTACATGACGTGCACTTGTGTGAATAAACACACAATAACAATGTAATTACCGTCTGTTATATTGTATAGGCCTATACGCCAATGCATTGTAACAGTGTATGCATTGTAACATTGTAACTATATGCACTGCCGCTTCAATAGCATCCAATCCAATGGGGGCGAGTAGTTTCATTCATTGCCTTTTCACCCCACAATGACCCCTCATTCCTCTCCACGGACTGGACGCTAGGGAAGCAACAAGCTTGATTGAATCAAAAAGCCTATGCTACAATAACGGGACCGCTATTTATCCGTTTATATTCAGAAGCAAGCCGTGCATTTGGTGAGTGAGTATTATCGGGGTAATTAAGGCTACTTTCCTAAATTGCGATGCATGCTAAAATATATAAGCAATTTCGTAAACCCTGTCTACTACACGCAGCTCAATGCAGGTGCATCCAGTGTGGGGTGCTTTTTTAAGGAAGCCTGCGCAGTTTCCATGGCCTCCAAATGTAGCGAAAACGTTTTGGAAACGAATAATGAAATAATATTTTGTATGTTTTGAAAATATTGTCGAGTGCATAGGCACCGGTTTTCTTATTCGGTTTTGTAGACAGTCAGAACGTGAAAAGTGAGTCTGCAAACCAACGTCCAGCCTATTCCACTAATTATCGAGCGAAATTGACATAGATGGACAAACGTGATGATCTATGTCAGTTTAGATTTGCATATCGGCGGTGGGGATCCCTTCTCTGATATGAAGCTTATCAAGCACTCCATCTCTTCATGGATTTTTTATGCGGGGGAAAATCGATTTCGCGGATCCTGCCTGCCTTTTGGTGGTAAATAGATTGCCGCAAGTGCTCGTAAACACACATCCATCACATATAGGTTCACACAGGGTGGGTAGCCTAAATGTGTTGTTGCATTGGTTGATAGATACTACCATGTTATCGTGGATAGAATATTACAGTGTGCTACATGTTGCTGGCCTGGCTGGTTGAATAGGTAGGCTACTTGTGAAACATTCTGTCAAAAGCATATTCTAGAATGTTCTGTTTTTGTTTCGTGTCTATCCCATCAAAGTTACACAGTAACTGATTTCTTAGTCCGAGGACAAAACTTTCAGCTCTATTTTTTTCAACCAGTGAATGACATACCGGTAGCCTACAAGTCACATTTCACAGCTTGTGCTCTTTGATAATGCATGTTCAGACAGTTCAACCGATTCCCTGTGTACTGGATCTCCCTATAGCCCAAAGCCATTGGTTTGAAGGAACAGCACACACAGTACACCCTCTGTGCTGAATAAAGTTTGAGCCAGCAACTTCACAAATAACTCCCTAGAATAGAATAGAATAGAAATGACAAGAGCAGAATAGAGCATGAGTATAGAATACAAACAGAGTAGAATAGAACTGTAATAGAATAGAATCACTGTATTTTCCCAAGAGTAGAATAGAATTAAACAGAATAGAGTAGAATATAGAAAACAAACAGTGTAAAATAGAATAGAATAACTTAATGATTTTCCCCAAGGGAACTTTAGCCTATAAACAGATAACAGCACATGTCACGCCCTGACTCATGGGACTCGTGTATGTTGAGTCAGGGTGTGGATATTCGATGTTGTATTTTCTATGTTTGCATTCTATGTTGTGTGTTTCTATGTTTGGCCGGGTGTGATTCCCAATCAGAGGCAGCTGTCGCTTGTTGTCTCTGATTATGGATCATACTTAGGCAGCCTATTGGCAATCACTAGTTGTGGGATCTTGAGGACTTCACGTTACGTTGGTTTGTTGTTTTGTTCGTGTGTTTATCATTGAAATAAACATGTATGCATTTCACGCTGCGCCTTGGTCTGACCCGTCCTTAAACGAACGTGACAGCACAATTAAAAATACAAATACCAAGAAAACTAAACAGTTTTGGGTTTAGTTCTATTCCAGCAGACAGTCAAAGCCATATTTGCAGATGTGTTACTGCAATGTTTGTAGTTGGGCTGTTATGGCATGAGCTAAACTTCTCCTAGGCATTAGCCAATGTGGCTAATCTCTATAATTAGCAGCTTGCCAGATTTTCTTATGGGAGGATGGACACACACACACACACACACACACACACACACACACACACACACACACACACACACACACACACACACACACACACACACACACACACACACACACACACACACACACACACACACACACACACACACACACTGTTATTAGCTTGAGCTAGAACTGAGAGAAGTCTCCAAAGGCTTGCAGTGGCATTCTTTCCTGTCTGTTGCTGTCCGTTGCTTGGCAGATCAATGTGGCAGGCTTAAGTGCTCACTACCATCACCTTTTATTTAAAGTGCTGCAAGTGTGTGCTTAATGAATTATTTATGTATTTATAAAGTCCACTGGTGTGAATTATTTATTTACCGTTGCTGTTTTTGAATATGTGTGGTTAGCAGCATCTAGAAGTACTGACTCTTATACAGTGTGTGGAGTTGACTAGAACAATTCAATGCAGTGGTTTAGACATAAACAAACCTTAATCAAGTTAGTTTATAAAAATGCCATAACTATACTATAAAGACAGTCTTACAGGAATAGTTGGCTCTTGTTAGTAGTTCAGTCCTTTGATTGACAGGTCTGAGAAATGAAGAAGTGGATAGTCACGTCATATTATTATGGGGTGGCAGGTAGCTTAGTGGTTAAGAGCGTTGCGCCAGTAACCGAAAGGTCGCTGGTTCTAATCCCCGAGCCGACTAGGTGAAAAATCTGTCAATGTGCCCTTGAGCAAGGCACTTAACCCTAATTGCTACTGTAAGTCGCTCTGGATAAGAGCGTCTGCTAAATGACTAAAATGTAAATATTAGATTAAGCTGTCCAGTGATACTATCATGGTGATGTGTCAAGCAGAGGCTAGGCAGCATCTTTCTCCCTCTGTTTTATTGGACTGTGTGTGTGCGCTTGTCTCCACAAAGACCTTTGTTTTGGCGGCCCGGCTAAGCTTTTATTATAACACCCAACGCCTCTGCACAAAGTGTTCACAGAGTGTGAGGATAATCAATGTCCCATGTCTGGTGGGCTACAGGGCTACAGATGCTAGTTATCATGCAGAAGGGAGGAAGGAACCAACAACAGTTTGACTGACTGCTGGTGGAGCTGTGATTTGGGTTATGGTGCCTGCTCATGTCATGCCTTGTGTGATGTGTTATTGTCCTCAAAATGTCCCTATATTTAATGTCTTCATTTGCTTTAGAATTACCGGTTTGCGTTTTCTATGTTTTTAGACCATTTTTCAACCATTGGAAATGCTATGTGAACTGTCAAGTACTCAGAACTCCTGGTTTGAGTTATGTACCCTGTTTTTCAGAATATTCTTCAACCTTTGGAGAACCGTTTGAGAAACAGAAAGTCTGTGAGAACTACTGGTTGGAGGTTTCTACCCTGTTGACTGTTATGGGAACAGTCAAGTACTTCAGATTCAGAACTGCCAGTTTAAGTTTTGTACCCTGTCTGTCCAGAGCTGTGGAGGGGAGATGTCGGCTGTGTACAAAGACGACCAGGATGACTGGATGACAGTCTGCCTCAAGTACCTCCTCTTTGTCTTCAACGTCCTCTTCTGGGTGAGCAGCACGAGCAAACTACCCTGGATCTGTTTGTGCTGCATTAGCCAACAACCATGGGAGTTGGCCATAGGAGTTGGCCATAGGAGTTGGCCATAGGAGTTGGCTATACAGCACAAACAGATCTGGGATCAGGCTATAGCAAATTAGCAAGCCCTCCTGTTTGTCTTCAACTTTCTCTTATGGGTGAGTAGCAAGCTAGCCTGGTAAGCTAGCCCGGTAAGCTAGCCCGGTAAGCTAGCCTGGTAAGCTAGCCCGGTCTCAGATATTTTTGTGTTGTACTGCCAAAGACCAAGTGAGTTGGCTTTACAGCACAAAACTGATCTGGGATCTGTTTTAAACCTCTAGTACACAGAAACAATACTTTTCTTCCAGTGACAGGTTCATAGTGTTCATAGGTTCATTCTTGTGTGGCTTCTTATGTTGCTATTTCTTAGCCTAAAGAGAGAGGAAGAGAGAGAGAGAGAGAGAGAGAGAGAGAGAGTTACCATGAGGAAAGAGAGGGAAAGGGGAGAGAAAGGGAGATAGAAACTATTTAACTATTTGCACATCGTTACAACACTGTAATAGACATGAAATGACAGTTGAAATGTCTTTTTATTGTTCATTTCACTTTTGTTTATCAATTTCACTTGCTTTGGGAATGTAAACATATGTTTCCCATGCCAATAAAGTCCCTTGAATTGAATTGAATTGAGAGAGAGAAAGAAAGAAAGAAAGAAAGAAAGAAAGAAAGAAAGAAAGAGAGAGAGAGAGAGAGAGAGAGAGAGAGAAAGAGTTACAGAGAGAGGATAGAGGGAGAGAAAAAACATGACAGAGAAATGGAGTGGACTTGGCCCAGTGTACTCTAATATTTATGGCCTGTCGGTGTTGGACCGATGTGCTGTGGATCAAACCTGGTCCCTGGCAGCCTGTGTATGTTTAATGTTTAATAATACAGTTAGCTATTAAAGCTATGTGCTGCTGGGCCCTTAGGCCTGAAAACACTGTCTGCAGAGTAAGGGATCAGATTCAAACAAGTTCTGAAGAGCTGGGGAGCTGTGGATGGGTGGGGAGAGAGAGACACATGGAGAAAGACAGAGAGGGAGGCAGGGCGCTATCGCTCTCTCCCTCTTCAACTTCCCACTGTCATGCTCCCTCAACTAGCCTGGCGCCTCCCAGGTCCCATGCTGTACAATGAGAAAAAATGCTGTAACTTGGCTGCAAGACAGAGTGGACAAATATAGCATGTGTGACAGACAGGGTTCGAACATGAGTCTCCTGTGTAGAACATGACTGTGTTAGCCCACTGAGCTAGAGCCTAGGCACCAGGCCACCACATTTATTTATTTTTTCTTGTGGAAAGTTAACAAAAGTGAAAAAGATTTAAAACAAAGACGTGATCCCCAAAGGACCAGGTCATTGTTATTCACTGAGAGTTTCCTTTCTTCCACCTCTGATTTGACACTTCAAGTAGTCTCTTTTATATCTCTCGTTTTACATTTCACACTAACCCAAAGGCTTCCCTTCAAACCCCACAGTGCATAATAGTAATACCTCCCACTTTCCCCAATGGCCACAGCCCCAGCCTGCCCGTTTCTCTATATTGTAAGTCTGCACCCAAAGATACTACATACTTATACTCCAGAGTTGCCCATTCCTTTAATCTATCACTTTTTCCCCTGGCATGGTGTTTTAGCACTACATATGTAGGACCTGAATTTGAGCCAGTTTGCTACAGCAGGAAAATAATCCTGCAGCAACATTAGACCTCAAATACGCTACACGTTTTACATTTTCTGCATTGCAGGAAGGTTCTGCAACAGGGTGATCAAATTAAGATCCTACATCTGTAGCAGCAGTGTTTGTTGTTTGGGAGTAGGGGCTTCACGTGTAGAGGAGGAGGAAAGGGATGGGAGGCTGAATAGGAGAGACTCTCCCAGGGATTTCCTGCACGTCCGGGTGTGACATAGATGGGGAAAACAGATTAAGGGCATTGCCACGTCACCCCTCTGATGTGGCCACCACTATTTATGGAAACAAATCACTCCACTCTGACTCTGTTTGGCTCGCTCTCCTTTTTTGTCACTCCGCTCTCTTCCTTCCTTTCTCTCTCTCTCTTACTGTTTTGGTGTATATCCCCTTACATTTTAAAAAACATTTTAGTCATTTAGCAGACGCTCTTATCCAGCGTGACTTACAGTTAGTGAGTGCATACATTTTTCATACTGGCCCCCCATGGGAATCAAACCCACAACCCTGGCATTGCAAGTGCCATGCTCTACCCACTGAGCTACAGGAGCCTTCCTCTCTGACTTACTTTATTGACACTGCGTTCTCTCTCTCTGTCATCCTCCTCGCTTTGTCTTTCTATCACTCTTTCCCCCTCTCTCTGTCTTTCTATCTCTCTTTCCCCCTCTCTTTGTCTTTGTTTATCTCTCCTTTCCCTCTCTGACTCACTTGTTGACACGTCAACACTCTCCCCCCTACTTCTCATTCTCTCTCCCCCCTCACACCCCTCCTGTCACCTCTCCCACTCTCTCTCCATCTCAATTCAGTTCAATTAAATTAAAATAAATTCAATTCAATTGGCATGAAACATTTAGTGCCAAAGCAAACATACGGAAACACATGACATCAACCTGTCTCTCTCCTCAGGTTGGTGGAGCGGCGGTGATGGGCGTGGGAATCTGGACCTTGATAGACAAGAGTGACTACCTGAGCCTGCTGGCCTCCAGCACCTTCGCCGTGTCCGCCTACATCCTCATCCTGGCCGGGGCCCTGGTCATGGTCACGGGCTTCCTGGGCTGCTGCGCCGTCATCAGGGAGCAGAGGAGCTGCCTATCCACGGTGAGGAAGCCCTCCCTGGGCAGGGTGACTACTCTAGGCCCCAGGCTTTCTGGAAGGCCCCTGGGTCTTCTGAATGTTTATGTTGATTAAAGGGATAGTTAAAGGACATTACAACATTAGTTAGATGCATTATATTGAATGTAGTGTTCGGCTCATAGATAACTTTCAGGGTAAGACACTAACTAACACTGTAGTTTGGGTGAGATATCTCTTTAATGGCAGTGTTGGTGTTTGCATTAGAAATGGGCTGGTTATATACTGTAGCTACAGGTGAATGGTAAAATGAGAGCGCACCATGAAACAAGAATGAGAATGGAGCTATCTGCACTCTGTACTCTCTAAGGGAATGTTCATTTATAACATCAGTTTATTCCAATTCAAACTCACCTTGGTTGCACTCAGCACTTTTGGGTACATTGTATGTTTTCCCTTACCCCAGATACCTGTTTCCTTTGAAACGTCCCTGGCCCTGCCGCTCCTTCCCTGCACCCCTGCTCTCGCGTCCCCACTTGTGACTTTCTCTTTTGTGCGTGTGTGTGTGCGTCTGTGTGTGCGTGTGTCTGTCTGTGTGTGTGTGTATGCTGGGAGCTGACAAATGAGCTGACACGCCCCATACTGTCCTCATTCTTTTAAAGGCCGGAGGGGAGCAGGCCAGAGATGAGCCACTAACTCTTCTACTGCAGCGGGACTATTTATAGTAGTGATACATGAAACTGATGGAGGGGGGAGAGGGGGGGTTTGGGTGGGTGGTGGGTGTGTTTTTGTTGTGGGGTTAGGGTGAACGTGTGTGTGTGTGTTTAAAGGGGAGGGTTGTGTGAGGGGGATGAGTGAAGAGTTGGTTTTCGTCAGATCACTATGGGGGGGGGGGGGGTGTTGTAGGTGGGAAAGAGAGATGTGTGTGTTTGTGTGTCTGTCGGGGTAGAATAAAATATAATGCAATGTTATTGCCAATCAACAATGGCTGTTAAGAATTATCTTTAGTGTGGTGTGTAATAATACACCTCCCACCTTCTTCCATCTGCCATAACCCAATATTCTGGCATTACCACACAAACACACTGTGATGATGTGGTGTGTGTGTGCTTGTGCATGTGCCTATGCGGGTGCATGTGTGTGTATAGCCTGTTAGTGGGCAAGGTAAAGATGGAATGGCTGCTTTAACTCTGTTATAGACTATGCTCTCCTAAATTATGGCTCCCCTGCAGCTGTGTGTGTGTGTGTTTGTGTGTTTGTGTGTGTGTGTGTGTGATAAACAATGTTTTTGGCATAGCTTTGTTTTTCCTCACCTCCACACATTACATCAGCGACAGGCTGGGAATGAGCATCTGTCTCCCGGTAATGGCCTTGAGCGCAACGCTGCACGCCAAACGCTTTGTGTCCCGCCTCTCTGACAGGTGTGCCTAATTAGCCCCTGTGTGTGTGTGGGAGTGTGTGTTTGTTGCTTCATTTAGTTTTTGTATGATTAATTGTGTGTGTGTATTTAGTGTGCGTGTGTGTGTGTGTGTGTGTGTGTATAGCTCTCTAAAAAGCTCAAGCACCAGTCTTGTTAGTCCATTCTTGCTGTGTGTGTGTGTGCTGTGTGTCTGTGTGTGTGTGTGTGTGTGGGCGAAACATACTCACCATTTACATACTCTCATGTTAAATCCAAACAGTGTTATATCACAATGATACAGGAGAAGATTTTGCACAGCAGATAATGGTTGGTTGGAACAGCATACCCCACAGCCACCCCCATTTCTCATTGATATCAATACATATTGATATCTTCCCAGACTAATGAGCTAATAAGGTGCTAATTAGTCCACTGAGACTTGTGTGATATTTTTAGCTCCTCTCCTTCTCCAGTAGCATACTAATGATGGTTTTGTTTTACCAAAGTGTTTTTCTATTAATGTTGTATTCTGTGGTAATGATTTCTATGAAACACCCACAGTAGATTCGTTTATAGCACCTTAGTTATATCACCCCGTAGCATAGATTTTATAAGCATTGCTATAAGCATCCATAACAGCTCATAGCTCCTTTTAGAAATGTGTTGGATGGATTTTGGATGCACTATAACACTTGATTCATTCATAATGGCTGATGATCCATAGGAGTGAATATACATTTATTTATGCCTCCAGTGCATCATTTAGAACTCATTATTGAAATGCAGTTTAAATCCCATTTATTATTATGATTCATTATCCAGAAGAGACTCAAAGAAAGTCTTACCTGTATTTTGTCTCCCATGAAGCCTGGATTTCACGTCCAACATAATCATACAGTAGCTAATCTCTGGATCAAAGCTTTATGATTCTGTCAATATTGCTGTTGGAGGTGTTGCAGGTTTTTTTTACTGAGTACTGGTTTGAAGGTGTTGCAGGTTCTTTTTTACTGAGTACTGGTTTGGAGATGTTGCAGTTTTCTTTTACTGAGTATTGGTTTGCAGGTGTTTCAGTTTTTTTTTACTGAATACTGGTTTGGAGGTGTTGCAGGGTTTTTTACTGAGTACTGGTTTGAAGGTGTTGCAGTTTTTTTTTACTGAGTACTGGTTTGGAGATGTTGCAGTTTTATTTTACTGAGTACTGGTTTGGAGGTGTTGCAGGGTTTTTTACTGAGTACTGGTTTGGAGATGTTGCAGAGTTTTTTACTGAGTACTGTTTTGGAGATGTTGCAGAGTTTTTTACTGAGTACTGGATTGGAGGTGTTGCAGGTTTTTTTTTTACTGAATACTGGTTTGGAGGTGTTGCAGGGTTTTTTACTGAGTACTGGTTTGGAGGTGTTGCAGGTATTTTTTACTGAGTACTGGTTTGGAGGTGTTGCAGGGTTTTTTACTGAGTACTGGTTTGGAGGTGTTGCAATTTATTTTTGACTGAGTACTGGTTTGGAGGTGTTGCAGGGTGTGTGGTGTTCTGTTCATTGTTGTTCCCTCAGGAGCTAGAGAGGTGTTTTATGTCTCTCTTAGTTCTCAGTACATTTACCTGTCAACAGCATGTCTGGGGCAGAAATCAAAACCTCTCTCTCTCTTTCTCAAATATGAAAGGTATCCCCCTCCCTCTACACCTGTTCTCTCTCTATTCCCCCTCTCTTTTTCTGCTAGGACAAATATGACAGTCATCTCACACCCCTCATTCATTTCCCCTCATTCATTTCCCCTCATTCATTTCACCTAATTCATTTGCCCTCATTCTGCACACTGTCACATTGCTCTCTATTCCTCTGTTATTTTTTCTTTCTCTTTGTCAGCTTTGGGAATGCGGGTGCGTGACAATACAAAGACACTTGATGGAACGCTTTATATCTGCATTGTCACAATAACTGAGTGACTTTTGGTAGGAGTCTAAGAGTGAGTGTCGCAAAGATCTTAAGTGTGACTGTTCTAAACAGAGACATGCAATTATTGCAGCATTTTGTCTTATAAACAAGAGAGAGTTTTGCCTGTAAGTGTTGAACTGAACTGTGTTAAGACTGATTTATTTCTCCCCCTCTCTCTCTCTCTCTCTCTCTCTCTCTCTCTCTCTCTCTCTCTCTCTCTCTCTCTCTCTCTCTCTCTCTCTCTCTCTCTCTCTCTCTCTCTTAGTATTTCTGCTGTCTGTTGCTGATCTTTCTCATAGAGCTGGTGGCAGGAGTCCTGGCCTATGTGTATTACCAGAGGGTGAGTGTGACTACTTCTCCACCTTCATCTTTCATCCTCTTGTGTATCCTTCCCCCTCTTCCTCCCTCTTCCTCCCTCTTCCTCCCTCCCCCTCCCCCTCGTATTTGTTTTCTTTAAAAATACTTTGATCTATTAATTGAGCCTGGAGTGCAGTTCTGGGACTATAACCTTGGTTCAATTGCGCTAGTCAAGCTCAGTCAAGCACAGCTAATGTGTTTAAAATAAAATAAGTACTTATTGAACCCAGGTCTGTTCTCTATACATAACCCTTCCTCCCTTTCCTCTCCATTGCATTTGAGTAGTCGCTTGTGTGTTTGTGTGCACGCGTGCATGCTTGCCTGGTGTGTGTGTGATACCTGTGTAAAGGCCCTGATCTCCAGACAGACCTCAACCCTGAGCCCTGATCTCCAGACAGACCTCAACCCTGAGCCCTGATCTCCAGACAGACCTCAACCCTGAGCCCTGAGATTATCCTAATCTCACACACATCAGTCTCATTCAGTATAATCAGAAATGAATGGTAGACTCAATATCCTGGTGAGGGGAGATCTTATTCACTTTCAAGGGAATGGAGTTGAGTTGAGGTTCAGATAAATGTAAAGATAAGCTCTGACACAAGCAAGACAACCCCACTTCACTCTCCTCTATCACTCTGAGGTGTTCTCTCTCTCTCTCTCTCTCTCTCTCTCTCTCTCTCTCTCTCTCTCTCTCTCTCTCTCTCTCTCTCTCTCTCTCCTTGTCTACCCCCTTCCTCTCTTTCATTCCATCTTCCTTCGTCCCTTCATCCCTTCGTCCCTCTAACCCTCCCTCTCTGTTTCCCTCCCAACCTCTCTACCTCCCTCTCTCCCTCCCTCTGTCTCTCTCTTCTCTCTTCCTCCCCTAGCTCAGTGAGGAGCTGAAGCAGCACCTGAATCAGACCATGACAGAGAACTACGCCCAGCCAGGGAAAGAGGCCATCACCCTGGCCGTGGACAGACTACAGCAGGATGTAAGGACTCCATCTCCCATGAGCCTTAGTTTTTCTTGAAGGGACAGGAGCACCAGTGGTAAAGATGGTTTACATTAGTTATGGTAGCTAGTTGCTACACTCAACCGATAAAGCCGCCGTAGTACATGCATGCACACACACTATCATCCCTGTTCACCTCGAAGCATGTGAGGTTCAATGTTAATCATATGCAAGGTCACGTCCACTATAGGGCTACAGTATGATGCAAGATGACTTGGTTTACAAAAAAATTTCTGTAATGTGATGTATTTTTTCTGCCTCGTCAATATTTTGTTGATTGATTTTAAATAAATGTGATGGTTTTCAGACAACCACTAAGTGTAGCTTACGGTAAACACAATTCCACTCTTCTTCTTCCATTGGCCAGTTCAAGTGCTGTGGCAGCAACAACTCGTTTGATTGGCTGCACAGTGTGTATGTGACCTCGGCTGAGTCGGAGCGCAGGGTGGTCCCGGACAGCTGCTGTAAGACCATCACCACCCTCTGTGGCTGCAGAGACCACCCCTCCAACATCTACAAGACTGAGGTGGGTGTGACCATTGGAAAATCGTCATTCTATTCAACAGTAAATATGTGCCGAATGGGTTACAATGGACTTTAGGGTGTTGTAAATGGACATTTTCACAGTAAAAATGTGTTATGTTGTCATTCTATTCCATAGAAATGACAGCAGAGCCCAGCACTGTCAGTGGACTTGAACAGTTAATAATTATTTCAGATTTAAACATTTGTTCATATCTAATGGATCAATACAATTCAAGTTGGATCCTAAAATATTCCTTAAAATAATATTTCAAAAATATAAATGGATCTCGACATAGAACACTTGATCAATATTTCAGGACCGAAAGGTTGTATTGGTCTATGCATCATATGATTCCTAATGTCTGAAATGGGGACAGGAAGTTGATATGTCCCTCAGAGCTCCACTACCTCCATACTTATTCTGTCTATGAAACTAAAACAGTCCAACACTCTGGTTTGGAAAGTCACTTTTGCCAACCACTTTTCTCTATTTGACAGGCTTTCTTAACAGTAACGGCTGATAGCATAAGCGCTCGGAGAAATTAATAAAATATTTGAGATGCTCCTTTCGCTTTTATCTGTGACAAGCAGGAGAAGTCTGTGCTCATTTCTCTCTTTCACACACACGCACACACACGCACACACACACACACACACACACACACACACACACACACACGCCCGCACACACACGTCGCGCTCCTTGGTTCCCGCTCTTATCACTCCACCTGTCAGTGTCACTCCAGTTCAGAGGAGGGAAACTTTGAGAAAATCTCTTTATAATGAAACAAAGTTTATATGGGTGGAACTGAAATATTTACTGTGCATTTAGGAAGTCAGCTATGGTTGACAGCTCCCCACACACTCGGAAAACACTTGGGTTCAAAATGTGCTCGTCAATGTGTTTTCACTTGTCTGGGAAGCTGAGATGTTTTCGAAATGTCCTCAGAACTGTGACTCACAACATGGCTTAAAACAACCCACTCAGTCAAAGCTCTTTGGTAAAACAGTATGACACCGGATGTACGGAGGTGACTGTACATGGATGTTTACGTGCACTCCATCCATCCATGGCTTCTCAATGCCCCCTCTACCCACATCTGAGTGACTGTGCATGTGCATGTGTGTGTGTGTGTGTGTGTGTGGTCAGAGAAGGATCCTCCTGAGAGAGACCTAATGCATCCCACTGTTCTCTCCACTCCTCTCAGGCTGCCCAAGGCCCTTTATCTTACTGTAGTTTGTTCTCTGCAGTGTAACTCTATACCACACACACATACACACACACACACACACACACACACACACACACACACACACACACACACACACACACACACACACACACACACACACACACATTCACCAAAGCTGCTCTTTGTTCTGCCGCAGCAATGTGGAGACGGGCCATAGACAGAGCCAGAGAGGGTAGAGTTGATAAATATACTATGGTAACTGAAGAGCATAGCCCAATTCCAATTCTCCTTGTTCACACCCCCTCAAGGATTTAAAAGCATTGGATTGATGTAAATATGATAGACACTGACTACACCAATCAGGTGTGTCTGTGTGTGTATGTGTGTGTTTGTGCATGTGTGCGTGCGTGAGTGAGTGTGCATCATACATGTGTGGGCTCATGTGTGTGTGTGAAGTGATTTGACCCCTGACCTGTAACCTCTGCCCCACAGGGTGGCTGCATCACCAAGCTGGAGCAGTTCCTGGCTGACCACCTGCTGATCATTGGAGCTGTGGGGATAGGAGTGGCCTGTCTACAGGTAGGTCCCCCAACACTGACCAGTGGCTTTATTAACAGGAAATGATGAGCCGTTATTATAGTTCTGTGGTAGCACCTCACTACAGACACAAGCTATCACTATCAGACTACCACAAACTATCATGTTGTTTTTGGGGATTTGTGGTATCACAGATTTCATGGATATCAATATAATGTTGTGATAATAGTGGATGTAATCTGCTACTGTGGATATTGGTAGCCTTACTGTTGAAATGTCTTCAATGCTAGCTAGTATCTTGATGGATAGGTGGGGACAAGCTCAATAGAGATTGTGAACAGAAAGGGAGAGAGATGGCAAGGTAACCTTTGCTTGTTTGTCTTAGGAGAGTAACGGGTTAAGAGGTGAGACTATTGCTTAAAAAAATACACTTTTTTTATATCAATAAAAGGCTTTCCACAAAAATATACAGTACCAGTCAAAAGTTTGGACACACCTACTCATTCAAGGGTTTTTCTTTATATTTTACTATTTTCTACATTGTAGAATAAAAGTGAAGACATCAAAACTGTGAAATAACACATATGGAATCATGTAGTAACCAAAAAATTGTTAAACAAATCAAAATATATTTTATATTAGAGATTCTTCAAATAGCCACCCTTTGCCTTGATGACAGCTTTGCACACTCTTGGCATTCTCTCAACCAGCTTCACCTGGAATGCTTTTCCAACAGTCTTGAAGGATTTCCCACATATGCTGAGCACTTGTTGGCTGCTTTTCCTTCCCTCTGCCGTCCGACTCATCCCAAACCATCTCAATTGGGTTGAGGTCGGGGGATTGTGGAGGCCATGTCATCTGATGCAGCACTACATCACTCTCCTTCTTGGTAAAATAGCCCTTACACAGCCTGGGGGTGTGTTGGATCATTGTCCTGTTGAAAAAGAAATGATAGTCCCACTAAGCCAAAACCAGATGGGATGGTGTATCGCTGCAGAATGCTGTGGTAGCCATGCTGGTTAAGTGTGCCTTGAATTCTAAATAAATCACAGACAGTGTCACCAGCAAAGCACCCCCACACCATAACACCTCCTCCTCCATGATTTACGGTGGGAACTACACATGGTGAGATCATCCGTTCACAAAGACACGGCGGTTGAAACCAAAAATCTCAAATTTGGACTCCAGACCAAAGGACAAATCTCCACCGGTCTAATGTCCATTGCTCGTGTTTCTTGGCCCAAGCAGGTCACTTCTTATTATTGGTGTCATTTAGTAGGGGTTTCTTTGCAGCAATTCGACCATGAAGGCCTGATTCACGCAGTCCTCTCTGAACAGTTGATGTTGAGATGTGTCTGTGACTTGAACTCTGTGAAGCATTTATTTGGGCTGCAATTTCTGAGGCTGGTAACTCTAATGAACTTATCCTCTGCAGCAGAGGTAATTCTGGGTTCTGCACTTGAAGAAATGTTCAAAGTTCTTGAAATGTTTCGTATTGACTGACCTTCATGTCTTAAAGTAATGATGGACTGTCGTTTCTCTTTGCTTATTTTTGCTTTTCTTGCGATAATATGGACTTGGTCTTTTACCAAATCTTCTGTATACCCCCCTTACCTTGTCACAACACAACTGATTGGCTCAAACGCATTAAGAAGGAAAGAAATTCCACAAATTAACTTTTAAGAAGGCACCTGTTAATTGAAATGCATTCCAGGTTACTACCTCATGAAGCTGGTTGAGAGAATGCCAAGAGTGTGCAAAGCTGTCATCAAGGCAAAGGGTGGCTATTTGAAGAATCTCAAATATAAAATATACACTTTTTTGGTTACTACATGATTCCATATGTGTTATTTCATAGTTTTGATGTCTTCACTATTATTATACAATGTAGAAAATAGTACAAATAAAGAAAAACCCTTGAATGAGTAGGTGTGTCCAAACTTTTGACTGGTAGTGTATATATTTCAAAAAACATAAAAGTGGTTATAATCTTCCTATTACCCCAAAAATGCATCCAGTAACTCCTATTACCGGTCAGACAACCTTTCAATGCACTCTATTACCCCAGCTCTATCCTCCCAGCTGTAATCCGATCCCATTCACATTCTGTGATTTGATTTGCTGAGGCCTCAGATGGACCAAGCTCGTAGCCCTTTCCACTGTATACAGGTTAAAAATGGCAGATTTTGTCATTAATAAGCGCCTGAATTGGAACAAAGTGGCTGTACAGTAACATGCTATACATGACGTCAGGGCTCAGATTCTCCTGTTCACAGCGCTGTATGGGTTTTGACTGACAGCCGTTATGAACTTGAGCACTGCTCGCGACAAGAAGATGCCCCCATCCCTCCCGCTAATTGGGCTATGTTTGCACATTTGTTATTGTCTGAGTGAGGGAAATGCTGTAAATCGAGAGGAGTCTATGTGTTCTGAAAGATGAGACGTTGAGGATGATAATAAATACTGCTTTGATGTCATACAAGCAAACCGCACACCTGTGAGTCCAAATGTGCACTTCACATTTCCGTACTTGAAACTCATGTTGTTTACAGTATAAAGGTTTATGATTGATATAACCCTAACCCTTCTCAGCAGTATCGGAAGAGAAAGGTCCCTCCCCTCAGCCTAATGTGTGATGAGATAGGATGTAAAGAATCGAGGAAAGATAAATTGAGATGGGGCCATGGACAGGAAACGGTATACCTTTCTCTCCCAGCATGCTTTGTAATAACTGTTGGATGGGGCGGCTGCTCTCCACAATCGATCTGCTCTCTGCAAATAAACTACACAGGGACTGGACTGGAATCTCCATCCCCCAAACATGGATTGATCTCCTGAAAATGGTTTACGGTTCAGCCACTGCAATTCATAGATTGGTGTTTTCGTCAAGCTTGGGATGTGATGTTCGGGTTGAGAGGTTTGTTTTTAAAGTACGGTGATGTTTAGTAGCCAAATCCCAGATTAGTTTGTGCTGTCTAGCCAACTCTCGTCATGCTACATGAGTCAGTTATATACAGCACACAATACAGCACAAACACATCTGGGACCAAGCTAGATGTTTTGCGGTCAGGAGCAAGAAATCTCCTATCTAGCTGTGGTAACGCTTACATTTTACATTTTAGTCATTTAGCAGACGCTCTTATCCAGAGCGACTTACAGTTAGTGAGCGCATACATTTTCATACTGGCCCCCCGTGGGAAACGAACCCACAACCCTGGCGTTGCAAGCGCCATGCTCTACCAACTGAGCTACGCCGTTAATGACTAAATAATTCCAGACTGTGCCATTTATTTGCTTATTTACAATATTATAGTCGTATTCTCAATAAATGATCTTCGTATGATGAGAAAACAAGGCTTAGATAATTCATTTCGATTTAATATAACATATTGATACAGCCTAACTGATAAAACTGCACAGTTTTGATTTGTGAAGTTCAAATAGAGTACAGTCTTGCACTTCACGCTATATAGTCAATGTCAAATATCACGATATTAGATTAAACATATATCCCCCCAACCGTAGCTTAGCCCAAACCTGAACATACAGGACTGGTTCCATCTTGGCTACTCCTTCCAACCAACCAGGGTTCCCACTCTTCTCAGTGTTCCGATAGCTTTTCTCCTGGAATTCCACATAGGAGTCATGTGATCATGTCACCGTAGAGACTGTCGACATGAGAATTCGGGGTGCCTAAGAATAACACATTTTTTATGAGCCCAAAAGCCCCTCCCCCTATTAGAAAGAATATTAGACAATATATTCCAAAATGATATGCTGACATTATTCCACACACACATATGAAGCGTACACGGGTAAGAAATCTAGCTATATCATTAATATGTGTTAGCGGTACATCGACAAATCACCCATCTTGTCCCAAACTAATTTAGACCAGCTTTTGATCTAAATGGCCTCTTCTCTCTAGGGCTTGAAGGTGTCTCTGTCTGATTGTCTGTCAGTTGTATGTCAGTAATGTCAGTCTGTCAGTGATGTCTCTGTGTGTACTATCTCTGTTTCAACTGTTTCTCTCTGTCTTTAATAATTGAAATATTAATAGTCTCTGTACCTTTGTTCTTAGTTTGGTTGTGTGTATGCCAATCAATTTAGTCTCTGTCCTCTTTCAGTATCCCCCAATACTTTGTCTAATATAGGTCACTAACCCCTCTGTGTGTGTGTATGTGTGTGTGTCTATGTATGTCTGTGTGTATGCATGTGTGTGTGTTTACATGTGTGTCTATGTATGTCTGTGTGTGTGTTTCTGTACGTGCATGTATTTCTCTCTGTGTGTGTGTGTGTGTGTGACCTCTGTAGCTGGCCGGGGCCATGTTGACGGCCTGCTTTATCTATCTGCTGTATAAAGAAGAGGAGGAGGACTTCTCTGCCGTGTGATTGGCTAAGCCTCTGTCTGGTCACACTCGGTGGGGACGGGACAAGGTTGGAGGGCATTGTGGGAAAATGTGTTCTATGTTTGTGTCTATTTGAACATTTCAATGTTTGTTCTGTGTTGGTGTCTGGATGTGTGTATTTCTATGTTTGTGATTGTGTCTATTGTGTGTTTGTGTGTGTGTGTGTGTGTGTGTGTGTGTGTGAAGAAAACAAAGAGACAGTTGATCTGGTTGCATGCTATTTTTCCTGGCCTGTGCTTTATTCTCGGTACCACCGAGCGACGCCCACCCCGATAGGGACACCAGGCTGACCTCCACATGCATGTTGACCTTTGACCTTTGCATGGCTGAAAGTGCTTGACAACATTATTCACAATCCAAGGAGGTCATGAGCAGAACAAACAGTTTACTGAAGTGCTCCCACAGACTAGACTATGAGATTAATGCCCACAGATAAAAGCGAACGACAGGTGTGCTTCACCAGATTTGAAAGAAACCTGTACAATGAATTTCTCATTGAAACTACTTTCTTAATCTTCCTCGTCATTCCAAACCCTAAACTAACGAGCAGGTAGGAAGTTTTAGCACATTCTGTCATCCATCTCCTCCTTCTCCCTCATCCTTCTCCCTCCTCCCTCCTCCTCCTCTCCCTCTTCCGTTTCCTCCTCCATACCCTCCCTCCTCCCTCCCTCCCTTCTTCCTCCTCCTCTGTCTCTTCCTCCTCCTCTGTCTCCTCCCCCCTCCTCCGTCTCCTTCTCCCTCCTCTGTCCCACCTCCTCCTTCTCCCTCCTCTCCCGCCTCTGTCTCCTCTGCCTCCTAATCAGTCTCCCCTCTCCTCCTCCCTTCTTCCTCCTCCTCCCTCCTCCTCCCTCCTCTGTCTCCTCCTCCGACTCCTCCCTCTTCCGTCTCCTCCTCCCTCCTCCTCCTCCTCCTCCCTCCTTCTCCCTCCTTCTCCCTCCTCCGTTTCCTCCTCCATCCCCGTCTCCTCCTCCCTCCCTCCTTCCTCATCCGTCTCTTTCTCCCTCCTCCTCCTCTCCCTCCATCTTTCTGTGAGTTGTGAGTCATCCTCTTCCTCCTCGCTGTGTGTCATGTGGTGCTGGCAGGGTTAGAGGCATCGTAAAAAACGCCCTGAGTGCCGAGCCGCCAAGGCCTTCTTTGACGAGTCTACTCCCCGCGTTGTGACCCCGGTCGATAATACCCTCGGAGAGGAGAAGACTGGAGGGGGGCCGTTGATTGAATCTCAGCCCTCCCATTTGTCATCCGTCACATACCCCCCTCCAGCCAATGTGGCTCATCTAAGTCCTAACCTCTCAGCCATTTCCCCTGTGTATTATTGTAACTCTGCTTTTGTCTGACAGATCAATGAGACCTTTCATATCCCCTATCCCTTAATAGTGATGATATGGGATGATCCTGTTAGAAATAGTGACGGGTTTAAGGCTATTGGCAACACAAGTGTGTGTGTGTGTGTGTGTGTGTGCCTATGTTGCGTGCGTAAAGGCCTGTTGTATCCTCCCATTTCTTCTCTACCCTAATCTCATCTCATTTTATTTATGTCGGCTCCTTCATCCAAACAAGCGGCAACTAAAGCTCCCTTAGACCGTCCTGCCGCTAGCTGAAAAGTACTTATTTTTCTCAGAGCAACCAAAGTACCTACAAAGTTCTACTGTTGTATCCCAGCAGCCCTTCACTTCCTTATTTTTTCCTACACACAAAGTATTCATAGGATTTTAAATCTCTAACTGAGATGACTCACAAGTGGAGTTTTGAATGTACTTTATAGAAGCGTTTGCGTACTTAAGGAGAAGAAATATCAAGTGTGTTTGAATAAACAATCAATTTATCTGATGTATAACCTATTAAGTAACTAACAAAAGCAATGTTTAGGGCTTTCTCAAGTAAAGCTGGTCTCAACACTTATTGCAAGATATTTGTGCTCGGTGTTGAGAATTTGGAGTGCACTAGGCAAAATGTTTTGCATCATAAACCCCCAAAGTGCCACACTCCTTGTGTCCATAGACTCCTTTCTAAGTATTTACATATGTTACATTAATAATTTGTTATTACTTATTATTTTATATGCCTCACACAAAATGCCAAAAACATCATAAAACATATTCTTCACATCATATTTCTTTGTAAAACTTCCATTTCATTGTATCCAATATTTTCCCTCAGTTTAATCTTGTGATTTTATTAGTGGATTAATTATTAATGGTTTATAACACTAAATTAGGGTTTTGAGAATGTTGGCAGTGCTTCAGACAGAAATGTCCTTTGAAAAATGGATGTTGCTAAATGTATGTTTGTTCACAGATTATCTCTCTCCAACAACAGTCATAGTGGGAGCTCTAACATTCACCACTGGCCACCACAGGCCCAATTACACCACTGCTGCAATAATGGCTGCTCGGCACTCCTTTTCCCATAGTAACCATACACTTTCTCACCCTCTCATCCCTAACCCATTCTCCTCATGCTATCCCACTATGCTACCATGACGACTGACCTTTACCCTTGATTGACCTTCACAATTGTGTGTGTGTGTGTTTCAGATCTGTGGGATGACGTTCACATGCTGCCTACACAGAAGGATTAAGTTGGACCCTTATTGAACCCTACAGTCCAGCCCCCCAACACCATCCTGCCTCACGGCCCAGGGAGCAACAATGCCTGCTGAACACTCAACCTTGACCTCTAACCCCTCCTGACCTCTGAACCTTACAATCCAACCCTGCCTGGATCCTTCTGCACCCCTGCCTTGGCTTGGATGCATTCACAGCCCCCCACTCTCTCAAAGACAAGGCCAATGAAGAAGAGATGCTTTGGTATTTTGGTGTTGTTATTTTCTGTAGTAAGCCTACTGCTGTTTATGTAAGGTAGTTCTTACTGTATGTTGTCAATACAGTCAAATCCTTACTGTAGATTTCACAGTTATCAACATTCCACACAACTGGAAGGCAAAGCGAAGTGGTTGTGACTGAGAATCAAGTGTACTGTACACACTCTCATGGTGTTGCTGCTTGCGAAGGGTTGATTATTGAATTAGTGCTATATTCAGTGTGTCACGGATGTGGACCACAATGTGCCTCTGTCATCGTTTTATCACATATTCTCTGATAGCTTTGTTACACCGATGTAATGGTTCACCACAAAGGGAATCCCATGGTAATCGATGTTTGATCTACATCACAAAGAAAAACAATCATGAGTTGATTGATACCCACAGAATAATCGAGTAGATATAGGGAAAACTCCATTATGTGTATATAGATGATAGCAAATCTTGATATGAATGAAAATAGCACTAAACGCTGCTAAGAGTAACGTTGCACCTAACGTTTCTGTATGTGTTGCCTCCGTAGTTTGACTAACAAATCTCGTTCTGTGTTGTATGCTATGCTAAACCTACAGTACCACTCATCTTTCAATCCCAGGACCAACTGACTTGTTTTACGGACACTTTTATTATGCTGGAGAAACGTTGTCATTTACCAATGATACAGGGTCAGATCTTTCTACGTTCCCCCTACTGGTTAGATTAGGATTCAGGGGTTATGGGCGACTTCTGAGGTTTGAACTGTCATGAGTCTGTCCTCTCCTCTGGTGTGGGTTAAGATCCCCATCTAGTGGTGGATATTGGTACATACTCCTGTGCAGTGCTCCTGTAGTATTCTGTGTAGGGTTGCAAAATTCTGAGAACTTTCAATACATTTTCTGGTTTTCCAGAAATCCTGGTTGGAGGATTTTGGATTTCCTGCTTATTCCCTCCTGATTCAAGGATTCCTCCAACTGGGATTTCGGGGAAACCAGGGAATTTGTTGAAAGTTCCCGGAATTTTGCAACCCTAATTCTTTCTCACTGATTCTGGAGCAGCCAGGCAGCCTTGGATCGACTACTGCCTTTAAAGACTAACTACATGAAGGCATGAGATATATTTGATTGTTTTGCTGTTATTCAAAGAGATGAAGACACGTATGCAGATGGTCTTTCTTTCTATTCCCCCAAGTGGCCCACCGAAAGCTGTTCTTGCTGTTCATGTATTTTTCTAATCGAAATGGGTCAAAATATTATATAACATTATAGTATGTATAATATAAGAAATATATAATAAAACATATAAGATATGATCTGGGCTGTTTCTATACTGTATACTGTAGTAATCAAAGTATGCCTTTGTCTGTTTAACAAAAATGTCATAGCTATTGAATTTATGTTGATGGTAGTCTTTAACTGGTTTCCTACATCATTCAATGGTTTGGTATTATTATTCTCAGCAGTTTTCTCTTCGCATCAATGTCTTGAATGTTTTGTTACAGTACATGACTATTGCTACTTTAAGACATCATGTTTATATTTATACTCTTCGATATGAGGAGGGCCTCCCGAGTGGCGCAGTGGTCTAAGGCACTGCATCGCAGTGCTTGAGGCGTCCCAGCCTGTGTCGTTGTTCCATCGCGCTCTAGCGTCTCCTTGTGGCGGGCCGTGCGCCTGCAAGCTGACTTCGGGCGCCAGTTGTACGGTGTTTCCTCTGACACATTGGTGCAGCTGGCTTCCGTGTTAAGCGAGCAATGTGTCAAGAAGCGGCTTGGCAGGGTCGTGTTTTGGAGGACGCATGCCTCTCGACCTTCGCCTCTCCCGAGTCTGTACGGGAGTTGCAGCGATGGGACAAGACTGTAACTACCAATTGGGGAGAAGAAGGGGTAAAAGTACAAACAAAAATAAGATATGAAGAGAGCTGTACGTGCACAGGCCATGTTTGAAAGAAGTGCGTAGCCTATCTGTGAAGAGCGTTGAAAGGTTAAAAAAATCTGTCAATGTGCTGTTGGGCAAGGTCCTTAACCCTAATTGTTGCTGTAAGAGTGTCTGCTAAATGACTCAAATGTAAAAGCTGGTGTGACATTGGGATGCACTGTATGACTTGTTCTGTACAATATGATTACATAAACGTTTTTTATCTACTCAATAAATATGATACTATATTACTGAATATATTACTCTTTATATAACCACTACTGTTCAAAAGTTTGGGGTCACTTAGAAATGTCCTTGTTTTGGTACAGGTATCTTCTTTTCTTATGCCCATAACCATGTGTATGAGGTGTATATTTTTGTTTCAAAGTAGATTTGTTTAAGACTAGCAATAATCACTCTGTGTGACCCTGATTTAGCCCACTGCAGTAAAAGGTTAAATCGGCTTGAAAATGTCTGTCTAGGAATGATCAACAATCAACTTGACAAAGTAATAGGTATGGAAAGCTCTTAGAGACTTACCCAAAAAGACTCTGTAATCGCCACCAAAGTTGCTTCTACAAAGTATTGACTCAGGGGTGTGAGTACTTACACTACTGTTCAAAAGTTTGGGGTCACTTAGAAATGTCCTTGATTTCAAAAGAAAAGCAATTTTTTTGTCCATTAAAGTAACATCAAATTGATCAGTGTAGACATTGTTAATGTTGTAAATGGCTATTGTAGCTGGAAATGGCTGATTTTTTATGGAATATCTACATAGGCGTACAGAGGCCCATTATCAGCAACCAGTCCTGTGTTCCAATGGCACGTTGTGTTTGCTAATCCAAGTTTATCATTTTAAAAGGCTAATTGATCATTAGAAAACCCTTTTGCAATTATGTTAGCACAGCGGAAAACTGTTGTGCTAATTAAAGAAGCAATAAAACTGGCCTTCTTTAGACTAGTTGAGTATCTGGAGCATCAGCAATTGTGGGTTCGATTACAGGCTCAAAATAGCCAGAAACAAATAACTTTCTTCTGAAACTCATCAGTCTATTCTTGTTCTGAGAAATGAAGGCTATTCCATGCGAGAAATTGCCAAGAAACTGAAGATCTCGTACAACGCTGTGTACTACTCCCTTCACAGAACAGCGCAAACTGTCTCTAACCAGAATAGAAAGAGGAGTGGGAGGCCCCGGTGCACAACTGAGCAAGAGGACAAATACATTAGAGTGTCTAGTTTGAGAAACAGACGCCTCACAGGTCCTCAACTGGGAGCTTCATTAAATAGTACCCGCAAAAAACCAGTCTCAACGTCAACAGTGAAGACGCAACTCCGGGATGCTGACCTTCTAGGCCACAATAGCCATTTACAACATTAACAATGTCTACACTGTATTTCTGATCAATTTGATCAATAAAATTCATTTTCTTTTCGAAAACAAGGACATTTCTAAGTGACCCCAAACTTTTGAACGGTAGTGTATATATTAATGTTGTGGAAGATTGTGGTTGGGTTGAATCCTCTAGTAGTGCTGGATATATTATATGTTATGGTGATATGTTGTCACTAGGTGGAGACAAAGTTGTTCCCCTACCAAGCAATTGTTATCATCCAAGGATGTTTTGTCTTCCTCAATTCCTATATGGATTTATCAGTTAGTTAATGTTAATGTTTGTTACCACTTCCTTTAACCTGTGGATAGGTTATTTTTCACAGGACAAAAAGTACATACTTCAAATCCCACTGAAACGCCATGATTATTGTAATATAAAACATGGTATCTTTGTTCTATTCACCTATTCTCCTAACCTCGTACAACCATAGCTCAGCAGTAATCAGCCTGGTAATACTGGGATACTATTCTCCATCAATCTTACAGTATTGATGCTTCACTATGCTTGCTGACTGCATTTGCACTTAGGCCAACTAGATTCCCTCAACTCAATACACCATTATGTACACATACAAGAGTGCTGTGGCCATAGCAGGATTCATCTGTAGGTTAATGGTATTACCATATGACTGGGGATGCATCCCAATATTCTTTAATAGCTCCCTCATTTGCTTTCTTTCACAAGCACTGATCTGACATTACATGTTAAGTGGGTGCAGTGTGATGCAGTGTGATCCAATGCTTTCATCAGTCAGTAAGGGAAGGAAGCAAGGAGAGGAAGCCAGTTTAGAGTGTTGGGACACAGTTCAAAAAAATCTGTCAATTAGGGAAGGAGATGATGAGGGGAAGCCAGTTTAGAGTGTTGGGACAGAGTCCAAGACATCAGTCGGTTAGGGAAGGAGATGAGGAGGGGAAGCCAGTTTAGTGTTGGGACAGAGTCCAAGACATCAGTCGGTTAGGGAAGGAGATGATGAGGGGAAGCCAGTTTAGAGTGTTGGGACAGAGTCCAAGATACGGGGGAGTCTAGCAGTCTGTCAGTACTTCCATCTCCATCAGCAAGCAGAGGATGGCTCCTACACACACAGACACACACACAGACACACCCACATGAAAAAATACTACAGTTTACTATAGAATAATACAGTATTTAATATAGAATAATACAGTATTGACTATGGAATAATACAGTATTTACTATAGAATAATACAGTTTACTATAGAATAATACAGTATTGACTATAGAATAATACAGTATTTACCATAGCATACTACAGTATTTACTATAGAATACTACAGTATTTACTATAGAATAATACAGTATTTACTATAGAATAATACAGTATTTACTATAGAATAATACAGCATTTACTATAGAATAATACAGCATTGACTATAGAATAATACAGTATTGACTATAGAATAATACAGTATTTACTATAGAATACTACAGTTTACTATATAATACTACAGTTTACTATAGAATAATACAGTATTTACTATAGAATAATACAGTTTACTATAGAATAATACAGTATTTTACTATAGAATAATACAGTATTAACAATAGAATAATATAGTATTTACTATAGAATAATACAGTATTTACTATAGAATAATACAGTGTTTGCCATAGCATACTACAGTATTTACTATAGAATACTACAGTATTTACTATAGAATAATACAGTATTTACTATAGAATACTACAGTATTTACTATAGAATACTACAGTTTACTATAGAATAATACAGTATTTACTATAGAATAATACAGTATTTATTATAGAATACTACAGTATTTACTATAGAATACAGTATTTACTATAGAATAATACAGTGTCTACTATAGAATTTTGTAGAATACTATAGTAAATACTATGTTATATTTACAGACCACAAAGACACTACAGTAAATACTACAGGAATGTCCGCAAAACACTACAGTCTGCAAAAACACTACAGTGAATACTACAGTAAAGTATGCAAAAACACTACTATAGTATTTAGCCATAGTATACTATATTATATTTTTCATGTGGGCACACACGCATACACACACACACACACACATACACACACAGCGTGCTTTACACACACATTGGTGGGTGAATTGGAAGCAGCTGGAGATACATCCCTCCCATAGTGGACTCTGCACATCATCCACATCATCCACACACACCTTCTTCCTCTCCCATATCTCACCCTCTGACAGCCAGTGGGTGGATGTTTCAGAGGGTCAGCTACTAACACGTTGTGGTCTCCACACACACACACACACATACACACACAGCGTGCTTTACACACACATTGGTGGGTGAATTGGAAGCAGTACCATATTGTACACACACATACACTCACATGCAGGCGTATGCGCGCACACAGGCACACACGCACACACGCACACACACACACACACACACACACACACACACACACACACACACACACACACACACACACACACACACACACACACACACACACACACACACACACACACACAGCACTTCTGGTCTGGATATATTTTTACATTGATAATGTGCTGCTTGAATATGAGTAATTTTGAGAAAATAACCCATATTGATTCCATTGATTCCCATGCCATGTGGAACTCAGTTAGTGTATGATGATATCGTTGTGGCA